ATATTACGAATGTAAGGGACTAAAACACTAAAATTTGATATACTTGCTTCTAGGTTGAATTTGGTCCTATGTACTAAACTTCAGTCCATTTGGACTTATATCGGCCATTTGGTGCACAATTAACCCGAAATCGGATGAAGATATATATGGGAGCTATATCCAAATCTGTACCGATTTCAATAAAATTACAAACAGCTATTTCTGGGCTGTATCTTTTATCTGGTACCAAATATCATTCTTGTGGAGTGCATATTACGAATGTGAGAGGCTTAAACACCAAATCGGATAAAACATATATATGGGAGGTATAGCTGTTTCTGAACCGATTTTCTCCAAATTTGTTGTATTTGCTTTAAGGCTAATCTCGGTCACATGTGCCAAAATTCGGGCCATTTGGGCTGATATTGGCCATTTGGTGGCCAATTAACCCGAAATCGGATGATGATATATATGGAAGCTATATCCAAATTTGAACCGATTTCGATAAAATTTAAAACAGCTATTTCTGTACCTGGTACCAAATATCACGGTTGTGGAGTGCATAGTAGGAATGTGAGGGACTTAAAGATCAAATCGGATGAAAGATATATATGGGAGCTATATCTGAACCGATTTTCTCGAAATTTGATATACTTGCTTCTAGGCCGAACTCGGTTGGGTGTGCCAAAATTCAGGTAATTTGGACTGATAGTGATCCGATTCTCACCAATTTCAATAGGGTTCGTCCTTGGGCCAAAAAAATATTGTTTGGAAAATTTCATCTCAATCGGATAATAAATGCGACCTGCATTTTGTTCACAAGAATACATGGACAGACGGACGGACAGACGGACTGACATGCATAAATCGACTCAGAAAGTGATTCTATGAAGGTTCTCAAAAGTAACTATGGGTCTATCTCGTTTCCTTCTCCACGTTACAAACAAATGCACAAAGACATAATACCCTTACCACTATGTGGTGTAGGGTATAAAAATAGACACTATCGGTTCACTCCATCAAGTACCTCCCCCACATATGGTCAAAATTTAGAATAATTACAACTCTCATAAAATGTGATGTAAGAGTCCGATTGTCTTCAAATTTCACACATACCAAGTTTTATATTAACCCAAGGTCTGGTGTAAAAATGGGCAATATCGGTCCATTCCTTCTGGTACCTCCCGCACAAAAGGTCGAAATTTGCAAAAAATATATTTTTTGCACAGAAAGAGAAAGGATAATCCGATCTTGCTCCAACTTTGCAAATCCTAATATTTGCATCAGTGCTATGTTAGGTGTGGATCGGTCCACTCCATCAGGTACCTCCCCACAAATGGTCAAAAATTTGAATAATTTCAACTCTCATAAAATGTGATGTAAGAGTCCGATTGTCTTCAAATTTCACACATCCCAATATTTATACAAACCCAAAGTCTGTTGTCAAGCTGGGCAATATCGGTCCACTCCTTCTGGTACCACAAACGCCCAAAATTTTGAATATCCATGAAGTTCATAAAAAGCGAAATAAACATCCGATTCCATTCCAGACATTGTACATCTCAATATTTCCATCAACACAAGATCTGCTATAAAGATGGCAGAGATCGGACCATTTCTTTTGCTACTTGCTCCACATAGGGTTGAAGATTTTGAAAAACATAGCGCTCAAAGAAAGCGAAATTTCACACACACAAACATTTTTGTTAACAGAAGATCTGTTGTGAAGATGCTATATATCTGCGAACCCCTTCCGGTACCTCACCCACAAAGGGACACAATTTTCAATACTTTTATCTGTCATAAATTGCGAAACAACTCAGCGATCCTTTTCAACTTGCTATATCTGAGCCTAATTATTTAGGTCCGATACGAAATGGACAATATTGACCCATTCTTTAAAAACCAACTCCACAGAGAGTAAGGTCAAGAGGGCTGAGGGTATACATTTGTTGGCAAAACCGATCGATACTTTTTTACTTGTTATACATTAAACTTGTAAAATTTGTGGTGCTTCCTTTCTTTTCATTCTTTTAATGGTGGACAAATTGGTTTGTTTTGACAAATCAGCAGATTAGTTGCAAGCTTCTGCAGGAATGCTGTCTGTTTACATTTCGCATTTTCCTTGCAAAAGAGAATAAAACTACCTTACTCTCTCAGAAAGATGTTGCTGGACAATTCCTGCAGGAAAAGTAACCAGACACACCTTGTCTTTTGACGGCAAACTTGGTTGTCAGATGGGCCTACTAGCCGACCTTATGTAGGCCATGGTAGGGCACTGCAACCAATTGATTTCAATTTTTTATTGTCCTGGGCTGGATTCTTGTTCTATGAAAATATGAAATGAAAACTATTTCCTTTATAAAAATTTTTATTTGATATTTCTTTCCTATATAAAAGTTTTCATTTCACATTTCCATAGAACAAGAATTGAGGCTCTGGCTTAACATGTCAAATTAAGATGTGTATGTTTATGTTATTTTTAATTGTATGAAAATTGTTTAGAAAATAGTTAAATTCAGTTGCAATTAATATGCTTATTACAAGGTATGTATCATGGTACAATGAAGACAAGGTAGGTTAACTTTAAAAAAATTGCAAGTATAGAGGTCTACCTGTGTGGCTTGTAATGTCAGAGTTACAATAAAAACAATAAAAAACTAAACAATTTGTTGTATTGTTTTTGAGTAAATAATTTAAGCCCGCGAAAACTGGACGAAATGTTAAAATTTCTTTTCAAAATCATGTCCTATATATAAGTATGTTTAAAGGTTTATTTCGCTAGCAAAATTGTAGATTTTGCCGATGCATACGTTTGAAAACATCCCAATTTGAATATTTTCTGAACAAATGTTTTATTATTGAAAGTGAATTCACACAAATAAACAAATAAAGTTGACATATTAAGCCAAGAAAACAAAAAAATTAACATCATATGGTATCATAACCCTACCTTGTTTTTATTGTACCAACAATGTTGTATGTTCTAGAACATGAGCCGAAAAAAGAAATAATTTAAGAAAAAAATTAAATTCTGTTTTTATTTATATTTTACGATTACATTTAATTGTTTTTAAACATAAATGTTTGCCAAAATAATTTATAAAGAAAATGGATAAAAAATGTTTGTATAAATAATGACATGACACTGTTTTGTTCCTGATTTAAATAAGCAAAAAGAAATTTGACTGGAAAGACATATTTTTTCTTGAGCGGCGCTGGTTTTATTCAATACAAAAAACTTAATGCATTTGTTTTGATAGTAATTCTGACATTACAATCCATACAGCTAGGCCTCTTTACTTGCAACTTTTTCAAAATTAGCCTACCTTGTATTCAAAAAATAAATTGAATTATTCATTATTTGTGTCACCCTGTTCATTCGGTCTTACCACAAAAACAAGAAACGTTGCACATAAAACACATACATAAACAAATAAAGATGGCATATTAAGCCAAGAAAATAAAAAAATTAAAAAAAATCATATCAGTTTTCGCGGTTTTCAATTATTTATTCAAAATAAATGCAACAAGTTGTTTGGTTTTTATTGTTTTGATACTAATTCTGACATTACAAGCCAAACAGGTAGACCTCTATACTTGCATTTTTTTCAAAGTTGACCTACCTTCATTGTACCATGAGTAATTCCCCTTTGTAACGTACTTGAGTGTTGTCAAACGTTGAATTTTTTTTTTTTCGAGCATAAAAAGTCTAATAGGATGTTGTATATGAAATTCTATTGTATCTATTGTATTTGTATTATCTACAAGTTTGTCTTCGTTGGTAGTTTTAAATTACATGTTTTTCTTTTTGCTAAAATTGTGAATTGAATGAAAATTGATATAAATGTATGTAAAACTATGATTCGGTTTGTGTCGTTTCAGTTTGTGAATCAGAGTTCGGAATGAAATGATTCAGATTTTTTATGCATTCTTTCTTTCATTGCTATTGACATGCATTTATTCGACAAAATTAACTAATTTCGTTGCTTTAAAGTGCTCTTATTATTTTAGATGATTGCCTTTTGACACACTGTTTTTTAGAGCCGTTACATGTCGTCGCAACAAAATTGTAGGTGATGCATCAAAAATAACAACATATTCGTATGATTCGTTTACTGTTCGTTGATTCTCTAATGCAGTGCAAACAATGGAGGTCAAATTATAATTAAAAAACTTATAAGTGTGGCAGTTATTTTATTTATACTGCAGCCTAAGACAGAAAACTGTATGTGCAGGTCCACGTCTTCGATAGCCCCCATATAACGGCACCTCCCGATATTCGTTATTTTGATGATTTTAGCGACATTATTCACCGAAATTGTTTCAAATTTGGTATTGGAAGTCCCTAAAGCATACTACAGCCAGCGACAGAAAATTGTCTATGCAGCCGAAGGACTTCGTATAGCCTCCATATAATGGTACCTCCCTATATTCGTTATTTATTTGATTTTAGCTACATTATTCACCGATTTTTTTTTTTTGAAGTTTCACATTTGAATATTGTAATGGCTTATGACAAAAGTTGCCTAGGATTTTAGTGGAACTTGATGTAAAATGTCCCTTAACAAAATCATTTATGCTTAAATCAAACAACAGCACGATTATTCGCTTGATTCCCTATGATTTCGTTGATTTTGTGAATGTTAGATGACATAACCAGCTGACAAGCAATGCAATGCATTGATTTCATTGCATTCTTTTCTGAAGAATGGTGTTGTGTGCTGTTGTTCCGAAGTGATGTGAGATGACAACGATATGCATTATTTTTGTGAATGCATTCATAGGCAATAAAAATTCCATTCAATCCCTATTTCTGTTGTGAATCGTTTTTCTCGTCCCAATTTGCGACGCTAACAAAGGTATAAGTGTATTTAACTTCAGTGGTGAATAAAATCGTGCACATACGCATTTATTTAAGTGGGACCCCTGAAAGAGGTACGATATTTTCGATTGCAGAAACTATCAATTGATAACAAAACATGGAATAAGATATGGATATTATCGATAGTGCCATCGTTAGTTTACCAGCTCTAACAGTAGACGCGTTGTCAAATTCGCTGTTTATTAACAAAAAATATCTCATCAAACGCCATCAACATAGTTATTTATTATTTTGTGCGGGTGTGTAACGGAGCAGAAACAGAACAGAATTGTTCTTGTGCAAAATTTTTGCGTATTTACTTTCTAATAAAAAAATATATATGCGAAAATAGTTCACGTGAATAGGCCCATAGTTTATTTGCGCAACAAAAAAACTACCAAACGATAAGGTTTTCGTTTTCGGAAGTTGAGGAGTAACCCAAAAAAAAAAAGTAAAGGAGACGGCAAGGCGTTTCGATTTTCCACCACTAGCAGCCAATGAAACAACAACAACCACAGTAACAATCATAAAAAACATCAACACATCATCATAGCATTCATTTAAAATACGCAATAAACAATACTAATAATATTTGTGGCTGATTTTAATATAGTTAGTTGAGCGTGTTCTTGTTGTTGTAGGCAAGCAGTCGTCGTCTTGTTATTATCTGTTTTGGGGGCAAAACTAGAAGGAAAAAATAACAACAACTTAAATATTTTTCTCATTGGCATTGCTGGCTAAACAAATTGAAAACGAAAACAACAAAAAGAAACCAATTCAAATGAAACATCAAAAAGTGAAAAAGTGTATACGAAACAAAACAAAATTAGCAACAACAACAACCACTCAAACAAAAAGAAAACGACAAGTGTGATTTGTTTTTGTTGTCGTTGTTTATTGTGTACGTGTGCATCGGTTCGCTTTGCTCTATGCTCTGACTGAATGTGTGCGTCGTGTTTTAATAGATTATTTAAATGAACAAATATTTTACGCTGACAACAAAAACAAGGAATAACAACAAAAAGCAGCAAAGAATCGCAAAACAAATACGAACATATAATAACTACAACAAACATTAGAAGCAAACAGCTGAAGGAGAAGAGATAGGGAAATATATTTTTGTACGTTGTTGCATAAATTAAATGCATCATCATCACAGACACCAGCAACAACAACCACCACCAGCACAATGGCCAATACGCAAGAAGTGACGCAAAAGGATTTGCACGATTTGTTAGAAATTTTCGAAAGAAAATCCTTCGAAGCAGGTCCATGCGAGGAAGGTACATTGGTAAGTAGATTTTGTTATATGTAACTAGTATATGTGTATTTTGTTTCATGTGTCATTGCAGTTGCAGGGGCGTTGCTTCTTTTAGTTGTGAACCTTATCGAAACCGCAAACTAGTTTTGATGGAAATTATATTATTGATGAGACTTCTTCGCCAATAGTATGGGGTTAGTTTTAAGAACAACAATCGTCTCTTTTGATGACGTGTGGCTAATTTTCCTCATCCTTGTGCTTGATTTGAAAGCAAACTGAAAGAAAGATATGAATAGTTGGTGACCAATGATTCACGAAGTTAAGGAAATAAGATTCCTAATGTGTTAATGTGGATGGTATCTCGTATCATCCGGTTTGTTTCGACAGCTACACAGGATTCTGCAGCTTGAGTTCATCTTGGAAAGAACACTACATATAGTATGAAGAAAATAAGTAGAAGAAAAATAAGTGTGAAGAGGTTCAAGCAGGATGGTTTGCTAGCCAGGATTTCTATACCTATAGATGATAATGGGATCTATATCTGTGAAAAATATTAGAGTTTATATTTCCCACCTACCAAATAGTCTTTGCCACATTTTTGATAACATCGGCATAGTATGTGCTCAATTATCTCTACTTTCTCTTCATTTCCCCATTTTGAGGTCAGACATCGGATACTGCAGCGGCCAATCAATATGGCCACCGTGATATAGATTTGACATTATATTACTATGGCCTAAAACCCAACAAAGCTCGATGAAGTCACGCATTTCAAGAGGACTTTCTTACTTTCTTTTGCAGAATGGGCCTCTAATTTTTAAGTCTGCTTTTTGTCGACATCTAAATTCACTGATCCCGTTGTGCTACTATGTTCTTTTTCCATTTTGGCTGTCTTCTAATGATAAAGTGTTTCTTAATAGGTAGCATAAGATTACAAGATTGCATATTACTATATTCTAGTTACCATAAGGGATTGACCTGTAAGATCGCACTAAAGTTAGGGATATAGCGCCTAAACAAAGTCATCATCATCCATATTCTGGCGAAAAAAGGTAGTGCGTCAGCAAATTCCGCTTTATTCATAAAAACCCATCCCTGGTTTATTTTTTAATTACACTCAAGTAAGATTTTAATGTCCTAATCACAATAATAAAGGTTTAATCTGGTAAATGACCATAGCCTGTCCATGAGAAATTTTTATTATCGAATCCACAACAAACCTGATCATGATTTTGCACATGAAATTGAGAGGAAGTACTATAAGCTAAGACTATTGTCAACTATGTCTTTAATTTGTTCGGCGGACTAAGACCTTTCAAACCACTCTACCCATATCTTTCATGGCTAACTAACAGTTCCTTTGGATTTAATGAAAATTAATTGAAGACATAAATATAATTTTTTTATTGTAACAATTTCAGAATGAAATATACTTCAGTTGTCTTTAAGTTTGTATGAGTTTCTGACGTAAACTTCTTATGGAACAAAACAGTTCTTGTCCTATTCTTATTTTGAACAACATATGACGAAGGCGAGGCTATCCCGTTTCAGCCTTACAAGCACTTATCTTTTTAGGAATAAAAGTATCAACCGTACTACTTGATATCCATATACTTAACAGAGACTCCTGGACCCGCAACATTCCACCTTTAAATGGTATAGCTGTCTATAGTAATGGGTCGAAGATGGAAATTGGAAGGGGAGCTGGGGTCTTCTGTGAAAGCCTAAGAATCCAAAGATCGTTCTAACTAAAGAACGACTGCAGCGTTTTTCAGACAGAAATCTTAGCTATCAGTAATGCCATAGAGCTGTTGACAAACAGAATCTATGAGCTAGATGGACCGGGAACTATATATGTCGATAGTCAAGCGGGCCTGAAGGCTCAAAATTCTTTTACAATTAAATTTATCGCAGTTATGGATTGCAAAAATGCTCTGGAAAAGGTTGAGTCGTTTGTCAAACTCTGTTGCGTCCTTGGATACTGCAACATATATAGCAATGAATCAGCTGAATAGGCTAGAGATTCAGAGCTCAATGAAGCCACCTTTATGGCACTTCTTCAACAGAAGGCATTTAGCCAGTTTGTGTTCAATTTCAACAGAACTGGCTAACTGGAAGGGGATGTAATGCCTCCAAAAAGATTTGGCCAGTGATCTCCGAAAGGAGATCGAAGTCACTGATTTCCACGACGAAGTCGGACTTGAAGCTTGTGGTGGGCCTAATTACAGGACACTGCTACATAAAGGCAATGACTTCAAAGTGGGTGGGGGGTGACGATACTGAATACTGCAGGCTTTATCAGGACGAGGGGGAAACTGAGACGGTAGAGCACGCATACTTTAACCTAACCCTAATCTATCAGCCGTTCTAAATTCTATCACCGATGAGAATACAGAAAGATAGAGAATACTCTCACTGTCCCTTTTGGTTGGTTAACATTATATAAATGATTCTTTACTTTATGATATTAACATTTTCAATCTATATTTCCATACCGCCTTGGATATGATAAAAACTAATTTAGCCCATAAACCAAGACTTCTCTACCCATAGAAAACGTCATCCTCTTTAAAATATGAAAGGTTTTAATATTGTGAAATGTTCAGATTGAATATAATGGCAAGCCCATTCGCAATTGATCCCCTAAACTATTTATTCTTCTTAAGACTGAAAATATGAACAGTAATAAAATTTAGGACAGAAGGGTTTGGTAGTATCCCCGACTCAGTTTTTCAAAACCAACATGATTGTGTTTGTAAAGTGCATGCGTGGCCCAATTGTGAGTTAGAATATCTTGGGAAGTACAAAACCAGAATCATTTGATTGTAAAACAGCATTAATTTGACGACGGTTAATAGTAATTGTTCGAAAAGATAAAGAATTGTGATAGTTATAAGGAGTGAAGTGAAGAAGTGGTTCTGATTTGTGGCTTCTATGTATTCTTCCATTCTGATCAGAAAAGAAACATGCTTATTCCATTCATCTCTTCCTGGATTCCGAATCAGACCATCGATGAAGACCAAAAAGCGGCTAGACTGATAAAGACCACAATATGTCTAACTAGATATACCGAGTAGAAGTTATTAACGTACGTACGCCTAACCTAATCAGTTCACCACAAGGTTTTCAAGGTCATTGATAGTCAAATATTAAACCAGTTGTTGTTACTGAAGTAGTCACAACTGCTGACCTAAGTCAAATAGGTAGCCGAAATTTCCGATGTTTCCGTTACATTTACGTTCTGATTTATTGCCACTCTACTACTTTCTCAGCGTTCCATATTTTCCTTTTTCTTTCTTAAGAATTCCATTAGACGATCTTAGCCGGAAATGTCTTGCAATTACCTTTCTTAAAACAGAGACAGGACTTGTATATGCACTAAAATAAGAAGTATAATAAAACTTTTCATATTTTTGCAAAGCCCTTTCTAATTATAATACTATTAAACTATTTCAAACTTTGCAACTATTTCAATATTGTTACATTGTACGTTTAACTTTGTTTCATTGAAATCAAATGTGTGCAATTTTTAACTACTTCTATTTTTATGTTGTTGTTATTTACACTCTTTCTAACTGAACAAGATAAGCAAATAGAAATTAAAATGTTTATTTACAACAACCACAAAAAAAAACAAACGCAGTAACAAAAACAAACCATTGGTGATAATAATGGTTTTCAGGGGAAGAAGGATTGGTTGAATGACAACAACTGACAAGCAGCAAATAAGTCCAGCTAGCTAAGGTATTCTTGTTAAGAGCTCGTCAATAGAAGCGAAAGAAGAAGGTTGCCGTTGTCATCATCGTTGACGTTGCGCTAGCACGTTTCTAGGAATAGCTTTGTTGTTATTTGCTATAAATATTGTTTATTTTAGTTTTTTATACCCTACGTTGTTAAGTGAGAAACTATGGATATAATGGTTTCAGAAGTAAATGTTATTAGTTTCTTGGTGAATTAATTCCTGAACGATTGTTAATTGTGTATCGAAAACATGTTTCTTTCACTTCGCTCCATATTTTTTCGGCTTAAATTGAGTTTATGCCCAACTGACCGAAAATTGTGAAATTTTTACAGAAATTTTTCCTAATCACAACGTCTTATTTTTTCCTCAACTGTGCTATCAATTTTAAATTCTGTGATAGGTTTCAAAATTATAATCGTTTTCCCCGCCTAATGGCTGCTGATACATTTTTGATTAATAATCTGCTGTATATTGACTCCGTGTCGTCTTAACCGTCTATCCCTAGCCTTTCTATTTTGTTTTGTATTTTTATTATTTGATTTACATTATATCGTCAATGTTTTGTATTTTATTGCTTAATATTGCTTGACTTTGTGTCGCTGTTGTTGTTTTTTTTTTTTTTGCATTTTGTTTTGACTTTAATATTTTTCTTATACTTCAAGGTGCAGAGTGAGGTGTTAATTATAGCTTGCATTTTTATTCGCTCTCACACACACACACAACTCAACACTACATACTTTCTATAAAATATTTCTAAATTATTTTCAACCCCTTAGGGTAAGTAGCGTGGTGTGTTGCGTTGACTGCTGACAGGTATAGATTTCGAGTTATCACCTTTTTCTATTACCAAATATTTGTTGATAATTAAAAAATAATCCAATTTAAACTGGATTTAGAAACTTTTTCTTATCTGTATATAAGTGGTTTCGGTTGGCATCATAGTTATATGGTATTAAAAATTTCTGATTATGTTCTGTCATATACAAAAGGTCATCGTGAGATCGGCTATATAGAGATTTTGAGCACGTCTCTAAAGCACAGTAGAATTTGAGAAAGTTTCCTTTTTAAAGAGCTCTATAAAGAGGATTTAGTTTGGGGACATTGTAGAAGTAAACCGGGGTCCTTAAATTTATAAAAGACACCACGCCATTCCCTTTTGAGTGGCTGCAAGACACTAAATTTATTTATTAAAAATATTTCTTAAGAACTTCTTGTGATTATCCTTTTATTAAGTGTAGGAGACAGATTGAAATATAAAGATGCGTGTAATTGATTGGATGTTACGATC